CGTCCTGCGGTGGAGTCCCTAGATACTGAGAATACAGTGCAACCTGAATGGCCGCTGCCCATGAACATCCTCTCACGTGACACCCTGCAAGCCACCATTAAGGAGTAAAGGATTTATTAGTGATTCCGAGCGTGTCAACTGCTACAGTCCTTATCCCATAAGCGTAGTGCATTTTGTCGTGGGAGGTGACGTTCCCCGCTGAATAGCGAGATCCAGCGGCGATCTACGTGGGCGGGCGAAGCTTTCACCGACCAGTTATCTCCCACCAGCGCGGCACTGTCTCAGCCAGGACAGCCTGGGAAGCTCCCGATATGAATGGCAGTGTAGTGAGTGAAGTGTGTGTAAGCAAGCAATGAGGATAGGACAATAAAGAAAAAGAAAAAATTTCGCCTGCTCCCTGGCGAAAATCTGTCACTGCCGGGACTCGAACCCTAATCTCTCCCGGTCAGAGGGACTGTAGTGACAGTTGATGCGCTGAGCCACAAGCATGTAGGTGTGAAGGAGAAATAATAACAATCGTATACAATATGAACAGATTCAATTATATTGTTTTTGTTTTTTGGTACATTTGTGCTTCCTAACTCACCCATAATACCACAGAGGTCAATTGGTATGAAATGTAATCGGCGATGCCTAGGAAATTTATTACACTTGAAAATTTTCAACTATTAATAAATGACATTAAAAGTGCAGTTAAAGAAGATTTTACAACAAAAATAGAAGCTGACAGAGTGAAAGTAAAACTTAATTCCATAGAAGATTTCAGAGATCTTCGTAAATTTTGCAACGAAAACGAACAGAGGAAAAAAGATTTCCACAAAAAAAATTAAAAAAAAACCTTAGGTTTTTTCCAACCAGTGGGCAAAAATTCCCCCCCCCCTGAATTTTGGGAAGAAAACATCTTTCCTTAAAATAGCCTGGAAACTACCTTGAAAAGTCCGTTCAACCAAAACCAGTCGGAAAACGAATCTCTTTAATAAAACAAGTAGAGGAGAATTCAATAGAAACGCACTATATAGCATGCTCTCCAGTCCAATATATAAGTAGTTTTAATATCCTCATCAGATTATTAAACAAGAAATCAAAAAATTCAAAAACTAAGAAAATCAGCAGGATATCGACTTTTATTTCTAATAAAATGTTCTAAAAGAACTAAATACCAATTCGATAGCAGGCATTAAAGCAATATTTGTAACGCAGCACTGCAGAATTGGGTTACTTTCCCAACGATTTAGGAAAATCGCACAGTGCTACCCTTCCGAAACCTGGAAGAATCCAAAAGATCCAGCGAACTATAGACCAATATAGCCCTACTCCGTATTGTCCGATAACTATTAGAGAAAGTGATACTAAAAACGATTAATAAAATTCATGACCAACACCACAATGTAATCCTTCGCAGACAGGCAATTTTGGATTTTCGGCCTACAACTGCACAACAACATCAAATATTACGGCTTTACCGAATATTATAGCGCAGGATTCTCATGCCAAACAACACTCTATCGCGTACTTCCTGGACATCTACAAAGGTTTTTGAAACAAATCATGGCATCAACGGCCTTTCTCGTACGAAATTAGAACAAATAGGCACTCAGACTATACTTATTCCTAATTATTAAAAGATTTCTGATTATCAAAAGAAATTTCAGAGTCAATATTAATGAATGCTATATCATCTTTAACGCCAGATTTCAGCAGGACTGCTCCTAAGTGTCCCATTTATTCACCGTGTAATTATTTCATTTATATTATATCCGATTATCACACCTAATAGATTCGCAATAGCAATTTACGGCGGACGACAGCTGTGCCTTTTTGTCAAGCATGGGGAACCATTATGAGCTAGAATACTTAGGAATAGACGACCTTGACATATTCAATTAAATGGGCAAAAAATTGGAGGAATTAAATAAATCCAAAGATAAAACCACAGGTACATTTTTCACCGCTAAGAATCCATCACCTCCGCCAGTTTTAATTTTGAAAAAACGAAATATTCCCTGGGCTGGCAAATAATACAGCAAGCCAATATTTAGGAATTGCAACTTGATACTTGTAAATTAAAGCTGGAAACACACATTTACATAAACCGAACAAAAACACAAGCAATAAACCTTTTCACTTTTAACGCAAATTAACAAAAAATTCCTCCCTTAAATAGAGACGGAATGATTAATTTACAGTCTAGTAATTCGACCGACACAGTGACTCATTGCATGCCCAATTGGGGAAATGCAGCAATCTAATATAAACCTGTTGCAAAACTATACAAAATCGTGCAAAGCGCTAAGTAACTATATTAAACCGCCATGGTTTATTTCTGAACAATGCCAAATGCCACCGCGAACTGCAAATTCGCGACAAAAAGAAAGCCAGCATTACGCAAAATTTGTCGAAAACTTTTTTCAACAATCACTCCCCTCATCTCCCAGCAATGCCTCCATTTTTTCACTCTTGAGCGCAAAGCAGAACGAACTTACGTCATCAACTTCTACGCTTTCTTAAGACCGATTCCAGTACATCCACTAAAACTACCGTAGAAATGGGCCCTCAACAACTATTACTTTTAATCAAATTATCATATGAAGATATGCATTCTCGTGTCTTCGTAATATACTTCCGTAATAAATTTAAATTATTAATAAAAAATAATAAAGCAACCAAAAACATTTATTTGCATCCGGTCGGAGGGCACCCACATGTTAGGAATAAACAAGAAGTGTTAT